CTTTGGTTGTTACTACTGTACGCCCGCCACAAATTACTATACTGCAGTGTGGAGTGCTTCCGCCCTTTCCCCGGATACTCCATTTCATATCCGCATCCTGGTGTTTCATTACCACGTACCTACAGGACAGCCCCTCTTGGTATGTCCTGTGGAGGACCTTAAGGTCCACAAATGACAACACCTTGGAGGTCCCAAGTTGCAAGGTGGTTAGATTGGTGTCAACTAGGGCCAGGGCCTTTTCAGTACTGGCCCCGACTTGGTGGAATGCTCTGTCACAAGAGACTAGGGCCCTGCAGGACTTGACATCTTTTCGCAGGGTCTGCAAGACAGAGCTGTTCCACCTGGCCTTTGGTTTGGACTCAGTCTGACCCTTATGTTTCCCTCCCCTTATAGTTTTGATCTATGGGCTACTATTAAAATGAGGCTGCATTTTAAATTATATTTTAACTTGTATTTTAAATTGGTTTATTATTATTATTATTAATTATTTATTGTAATTTTACTGGTGTTAGCCGCCCTGAGCCTGGCTCTGGCAGGGGTATAAATAAATTATCATTATTATTATCATTATTATTATTACCCTACCCCACTGAAGTGATGGACATGAGGCAGGAGTTGATAATGCAGGTGAGCTGCGCACAAGCAAGCTGCCGGCCAGCTCTGTGGAGCCTCCTTTTATTGACACAAATATGCAAACCAGGCAGATACATTTTGGGCTGTGACCTTTACACACCTACCAGTCCCGAGATCGTGAGATGGTACAAAGTTATTTTGGCACCTGTTTCCACCGCATCATTTCCCCCTTGCACAGTGTATGACGAAGGAGACAAAAGCTCTCAGAGACAAAGGTTACAGACAGGACACCGCAGACTACTGAGACCGCAAAAGGTTAGACAGAGGGTATGATGTTCAGACAGCTGTGGTTTTGTTTATGGGGGGGGTGCTCCGCCCCCCCCAGGTCACGCATGCAGGCAGACTGTGGCTGCCTGCGGGTGGGGTGTGTGCTCCCTCCGGACCCCACTCCCCACCCCGTGATCATCCCTACACCCCACCCTGTCAGTCAGTCAGCAATCCATGCTACTGAACATGCTTGGGCCCAGAGTGCTTTAAATGTATGTTGTGGGTGTGACCAAAGGGGTCACCAGCTGGGCGGAAATGACTGGCAGAATCCGTGACCAGGGAGAAGAGTCGGTGGAGGAAGATTGGAAGAAATTCAAAGATTATCTTCAGAAACACTGCAAAATTAAAGAATGTTAGAGTGATGTTGGATCGAAAATAAGTGGTTTCCAGCTGTTCAGGTTAAAGTTATTGATAGACTAAGATTAAAGATTAGGATTAAAGATGTTTAAGGAAATGGAAATTTGGTACTTAAGAGGTAAAATTTTAATGCTGTATTACATTAAGATTAAAGATTAGGATTAAAGAAGTTTAAGTGTTATATATTATATTAAGATTAAAGATTGGGATTAAAAAAGTGGAAAAGAAATTGCTGGACAAACAAATTGGACTGGAATACAAAAGAGGGAGGTATGAGGAAGTCCAGAAAATAAGTAAATTGAAAAACGGAAATGGAAAAGTGATATTGTTTTTAATTGTTCTGTTTTTTTGTTTTTTGTTTTTTTTGTATTTTGTTTTCTGTGTTCTCCTTCTCTTTTTGGATTATGTATTGTGTATTTTTGTACTTCTATTCTTATATTTTTCTGTCTAACTTTTTATTGAAACCTTAATAAAAATCATTTAAAAAAAAAACAAAGGGGTCACCAGCTGTGTCTTGCACAAGTGGAACCTGTAACCATTCTGAGAGGGCGCTTAAACATACAGCAGTGCCAACTGAATAAACTATTCAAGAGCCCTGCCCTGCATAATCGACCACATGGCGTGGCACATGCACACCATTTGAATGGCAATGCCCATCAGCTTTGGGTGTGAGTGTGCCCCCCTCAAATATTTTATCGGGGTGCAGGTGGGGCGAAGGGACCTTGGCCTTTAGGAGTTGGCTCCTATGTAGACATAAAAGCTATACCAAAAACGGTAAGAAATGTTATTTTATTATAGCTGCCCGATTTGACAAAGCATCAACGTGGCAGCGTAATAATAATAATAATAATAATAATAATTTATTATTTGTACCCCGCCCATCTGGCTGGGTTTCCCCAGCCACTCTGGGCGGCTTCCATAGAAACCAAAAATACACTAAAATATCACACATTAAAAACTTCCCTGAACAGGGCTGCCTTAAGATGTCTGCTGAATGTCAGGTAGTTGTTTATCGCTTTGACATCTGAGGGGAGGGCGTTCCACAGGGCAGGCGCCACTACCGAGAAAGCCCTCTGCCTGGTTCCCTGTAGCTTTGCTTCTCGCAATGAGGGAACCGCCAGAAGGCCATCGGCACTGGACCTCAGCGTCCGGGCAGAACGATGGGGGTGGAGACGCTCCTTCAGGTATACTGGGCCGAGGCCATTTAGGGCTTTAAAGGTCAGCACCAACACTTTGAATTGTGCTCGGAAACGTACTGGGAGCCAATGTAGGTCTTTCAAGACCGGTGTTATGTGGTCTCGGCGGCCGCCCCCAGTCACCAATCTAGCTGCCGCATTCTGGATTAATTGTAGTTTCCGAGTCACCTTCAAAGGTAGCCCCACGTAGAGCGCATTGCAGTAGTCCAAGCGGGAGATAACTAGAGCATGCACCACTCTGGCGAGACAGTCCGCGGGCAGGTAGGGTCTCAGCCTGCGTACCAGGTGGAGTTGGTAGACAGCTGCCCTGGATACAGAATTGACCTGCGCCTCCATGGACAGCTGTGAGTCCAAAATGACTCCCAGGCTGTGCACCTGGTCCTTCAGGGCCACAGTTACCCTATTCAGGACCAGGGAGTCCTCCACACCAGCCCACCCCCTGTCCCCCCAAAACAGTACTTCTGTCTTGTCAGGATTCAACTTCAATCCATTAGCCGCCATCCATCCTCCAACCGCCTCCAGGCACTCACACAGGACCTTCACCGCCTTCACTGGTTCTGATTTGAAAGAGAGGTAGAGCTGGGTATCATCTGCATTTTGATGGACACCCAGTCCAAACCCCCTGATGATCTCTCCCAGCGGCTTCATAGAGATGTTAAAAAGTATGGGGGAGAGGACGGAACCCTGAGGCACCCCACAAGTGAGGGTCCAGGGGTCTGAACACTCATCCCCCACCACCACTTTCTGAACACGGCCCAGGAGGAAGGAGCGAAACCACTGTATAACAGTGCCCCCAGCGTAATCATGGGTAAAACCTCCAGCCCATATTAAAGGCGTAATTTGGGATTATTTCTTAGGAAAGTGGCTCCCATTACTGCAATGGGATAGCTCAGTGGGTGGAGTGTGAGTCTCTTAATCTCAGGGTCGTCTCTTAATTTCAGGATCGTGACACTCCCCCCCCCCGGTGAAAGATCCCTTGCATTGCAGGGGGGGGGGTTGGGCTAGATGATCCGCTTGGTCCTTTCCAACTCTTAACATTCTTTGATTCCTTAACTACACGGAGGCCACCAAAAACAAAGCTCAGCCTTCAGTTACAAGGGCTTGCTTTGCTTTGCGGCTCGATTATAATTGGCCTCCTGAAAAAGAAAAGAAAAAACCAAACCCGTAAGGACACAGCTTCCGCTTGGCTTGAATTATGTCCAAATATTTATTTTTCTCGTAGGGGAAAAGGAAAACAAAAACACACATACACTACAACCATGGAGAAAAAGTATTTTGGGAAACTGAAATAAACACCCACCATGGATCAAGCTCAAAATGAAATACAGTGGTACCTCAGGTTAAGTACTTACTTTGTTCCAGAGGTCCGTTCTTAACCTGAAACTGTTCTTAAGCTGAAGCACCACTTTAGCCAAGGGGCCTCCCGCTGCCACCGCACGATTTCTGTTCTTATACTGAAGCAGAGTTCTTAACCCGAGGTACTATTTCTGGGTTAGTGGAGTCTGTAACCTGAAGCGTATGTAACCTGAAGCGCATGTAACCCGAGGTACCACTGTACTTACAACACTCCGATGCAATGAGGTTGAGGGTAAGTTTTTTCATAGGTGGTGGACCTGTAAAAGGGTAATAATTCATAATGAATTGGAAAAAAAAGTTTAAAACACTTTTCCAAAAACAAAATGAAACCCAGAGTCCTTTTCGTTGGGGATAATTCCTTTCTTTAAGAAAAAAAAATTACATTTTGTTTGCATACATCCATATACATTTTCCATCCTTAATTCAGGCTAAGCCTAAGAATAAGCAAATACATAAGATTGGATTGGAAAATGCATTAAGATAAATTCAACAGCGTAAATAAGTTTTGATGGATGCGATAATGAAATACTGAATGGTTTAGTTTATGTAAAATATGCAGGGATTTATGTTATGCAGATTGAACCAAGGAAAGAGAAGAAGGGAAATTATTGATATCTTAAGGATGATTTTTTTTCCCAGAGAGTGGGATGTATACAGAGTTTATGTAAAAGAACATTGTCAAAAGACCAACCCGTTGGCAGGTTTTGATTGAGCTTCAGTGTGCAAATAGGGTAATTGTATAAAACAAAATTTATAGTAAGTCAAATATTATGGAGAAAGTAAAGTTTCAGCGCGTATTTAAGGAATTTGCAAGCGGAAGATCAGAGGTCTTAACACATTTAATCACAAATGGATGTACAAAGCAAGCATTAGCTAAAGAATGAATAACCGTTTATTTTTTATTTCTCATTTTGCCTACAATATCTATTGTGCACTTCTGTTACCAAGTTTTCAATCAATAAAGCACTCAAAAGCCAAAAAAGAAGAATATTTTTTAAGGATGTTTAAATGGGTATTCTAAATGGTAGAGCAGAAAATTCAATAAATTTTAATATATTAATATTTTTAAAAATTAAAAAAGCCCTCAAATTGGAATAACGTAGGTCTCCCCACCCGGGAGCTCCAGGCGGCGCGCTGAAGCCGGCAACGAGGCGGCGCCGACCCGCCCGCCTCCTGGGCCGTCCCCGCCCTACTGAGGCGGCGGCGACGGCGGCGGCAGGTCTCCCTTTTCCGAGCGCCAGGCCAGGCGGAGCCGGAAGCCGGCCGAGGCTGAGCCAGCAGCGGCTGAGGAGAGCGAAGGGAGGCGGCGGCGGCGGCGGCTCCTCTTTCCTCATGGCGCTGAACCTGAGCCGGAACGGGCCGGCGCTGCAGGAGGCCTACGGGCAGGTGGTGGCGTCGGCCAGCCCCACGGACTGGTAAGTCGCCCCTTCCCTTCGCCGGGGACCCTCGCTGGGCTGGCGGCAGGGCTGGCTCGCTCCTTGGCGCCGGGCCTGCGAGGCGGCGTGGGGCTGGCAGGGAGGCTCCGGCGCGCAGGGGGATGGATGGCGGGCCTGGGGGGGGGGGTGAGGCGGGAGGATGGGGCGCACGGGGGGGGGGTGTCTGGGGCAGAGGAAGGCAAGTGTGGGGCTCAGGTGGGGCTGCCCAGGTTGCGGCTCCCTGGGGCGCTGCACCCACACAAGGGGCCGGGCACCCACACTTTTCGGGGCCGGGGCCATGCACGTGGGGCTGACTAGGTTTGGGGCTGTAGGTGCCCGGCAGTGGCGTAGCGTGGGGGGTGCAGGGGGGACCGGGCGCAACATCTGGGGGGGCGCGCTCGCACTCGCAGCTCTCTGCCCCTACTAAAATCCACGGGTTAGGGGGCGCAAATTACTTGCCTTGCCCCAGGTGCTGACAACCCACGCTACGCCACTGGTGCCCGGGCACCCACAAAAGGGGCCGGGCACCCACACATTCCGGCGCTGCACGGCACCCGACGCCCCCTGGCACCCACGATCGCGGTTCCAAGTTGTGGCACCCCTGGCACCCACGGCGTGGGGCCGGGCGACGCGAGCCTCGGGCTGTGGGTGCGGGGAGGAGTTGGGTGCAACTCTGCACGCCAGGAAGGGCGTGGTGAGAGAAGGAGAGAGGAAGGTAAGATCGTGCAAGATCGTGGTGGTTTTTCTTTTTGGGTGTGTGTGCAATTATGCACAGAAGGGAGCTGGCATATCTGTTACTTATTTCGTGAAATTTATACACCACTCAATTGGGGTGGGGACACAACAACACCACCCCCCCAAAGAGAAGATGGAGCAATACTATAGTGTGGCATGGCATTGTGGGTGCTGCAGGGAGGTTGCAGCATAGCTGTCAACTTTTCCCTTTCCTTGTGAGGAATCCTATTAGGAATAAGGGAATTTCCCTTTAAGAAAAAGGGAAACGTTGACAGCTATGGGTTGCGGGGTGTGGGGTGGGGCAAGAGAGACACATGGGCTGGTGCCTTTGGAGTGGGGAGTGGCAGTGGGGAAGGGTTTAGCCTTCACAGGGATTGGTTTGTAGATGGTTGTCCTTCCTAGAATGGGTGAGGAGCTGGCTAGGGTTTGACCTGTGTGAAAACTCCGGAGATGCTAAAAGTAAAGGACCCCTGGACAGTTATGTCTGGTTAAAGGTGACTATGGGGTTGTGACGCTCATCTCACTATCAGGCCGAGGGAGCCACAGAAAGCTTTCCAGGTCATGTGGCCAGCATGACTAAACTGCTTCTGGCGCAACAGAACACCGTGAATGAAACCAGAGTGCACAGAAACGCTGTTCACCTTCCTTCTGCAGCGGTACCTATTTATCAATTTGCACTGGTGTGCTTTTGAACTGCTAGGTTGATAGGAGCTGAGACAGAGCAACAGGAGCATCACGGGGATTCGAATTGCCAACCTTCTGGTTGGCAAGCCCAAGAGATGCTGTAGCATATGGTGATAGGCTAGAAGATGGGGCGAATGTTGCCTGAGGCTGTGGGGAGATGCAGATTTGCACAGAAATAGGGGAGAGAGAGTGAGGAGCAGGTGGATCACATATCCGGAGGGTGCCTTGCCTTGCATCTACAAAGTCCATAGCTGCCTGCACCTGTTTCTCCTCCTTAATTATCCCTGCCCTTTTATCAGTCCTTTCCAGGTACGCAGGCAGCATCGTCCATTTGCCTTACTCTACTCTTTGGAGTATTTAGAGGATTAGGCCTAGAGGGAGATGGCAAGCAAATGCCAAAGCAGTGGTGAGAGTGACAAAGGAGAGGGACATTCAAGTACGGTATAGGTGCCCACTGATGCCCCACCCCTCAAAATCTGCAGTTGATCCTATTCTTAGGGTGCATCATTCAATTGCTGATCTTCTAACAAAGTTAACTTGCCCATCGGGTCAGCCTCTATACCTGAGGGTTGGAAAATGGCCAGTGAAACTCGAGTTAAAAACAACAACTATGAACCGGGGGACCCTGGAAATTACAGGCCAGTTAGCTTAACATCTGTCCTGGGGAAACTGGCAAAAAGTATTGCTCAAGATAAAATAAGCATATGGAAGAACAAGCTTTACTGAAGCAGAACCAGCATGGCTTTGGTAAGAGCAAGTCCTGTCTCTTCAACTTACTAGAGTTATTTGTGAATGTTACCAAGCATATAGAAAGAGTTGGTAGGTTTGAGAATAGTGTGTTTGGACTTTCCAACAGCTTTCGACAACATACTTCCCCAACGGCTACTGAGTAAGCCTTGAAGTCGTGGAATAAGAAGAGAGGTCTGTTTGTGGATCAAGAATTGGTTAAGTAGTCAGAACCAGAGAGTAGGAATAAATGGACACTTCTCTGAATGGAGAGATGTAGAAAGTGGGGTGATGATACTAATTTGTTCAGGGCTGTTAAAGCAAAAAGAGATTGTGAAGATCTTCAAAAGGGTTTCTCCAAGCTGAGCAGTGTCCAAAATCGGCCACTTGTGACCACATGAAGATGTGACCAAGTTAAAAATACGACTTTCGAGCCATCTGGCCCCCAAGTGGCAACTAGACATTCTGTTTTGGCAACTGAACCCCTGGTTTAAGGACGTATTTGAGGCCTAGCTTATGTATCTTGAGTTTCTAACACTGAGCTAGTGAACAGAAAAAGAAAATCTTAATTTCACATATATGTTTATGGGATCTCAGCTGGTGATGACTGACCAGGAATGAGACTTTGGGGATATTGTGGAGAGCTCTGTGAAAATGTTGCCCTAATGAAAAAAAAGCAAATTCTATGCTAGGGATCACTAGGAAAGGAATTGGAAATAAAACTGCTGATACAGTGCAAATCTATGGTATGACTGCATTTGGAATACAATACAGTACTGTGTTCTGTTCTGATCGCCTCACCTCAGAGTGGATAGTTGGGAAAAGGTTCAGAAAAGGGCAACCAAGATGTTCAAGGGGGTGGAGCAACTCCCCTATGAGGAAAGGTTGCAGCATCTGGGGCAGTTTAGATTAGAGAAAAGGCTAGGAAGAACTGACATGATGGAAGTCTTTAAAATGATGCATGGCACTGAGGAAGTGGATAGAGAAAAGTTTTTCTCTAATAGCATTAGAACTCATGGACATGCAGTGAAGCTGAATGTTGGAGGATTCAGGACAGCTTTTTTTTTAAAGTACTTTTTGATGCAGTGTATAGTTAAGCTACAGGAGGCAGTGATGACCTTCAACTTGGATGGCTTTCAATGATGGTTGGGTAAATTCATGGAGGGTAAGGCTATCCGTGGTTACTAGCCATGAAGGCTAACAGCACCTGTGGCCAGAGGCACTAATGCCAGTTGCTGGAAACCACAGAGAGGCAGAGTAATCTTGTGCTCAGGTCCTGTTTGCAGGTTTTCTAGCAGGATCTGATTGGCCACTGTGAGAGCAGAATGCCGGACTGGATGGACCATTTGCGTGAAACTAAGCGCTGTGGGTTAAACCACAGAGCCTAGGACTTTCTGATCAGAAGGTTGGTGGTTCGAATCCCCGCAACTGGGTGAGCTCCTGTTGCTCGGTCCCTGCTTCTGCCAACCTAGCAGTTCGAAAGCACCTCAAAGTGCAAGTAGATAAATAGGTACCACTCTGGCGGGAAGGTTTACGGCGTTTCCGTGCGCTGCTCTGGTTTGCCAGAAGCGGCTTAGTCATGCTGGCCACATGACCCGGAAGCTGTACGCCGGCTTCCTCGGCCAATAAAGCGAGATGAGCTCTGCAACCCCAGAGTCGGCCACGACTGGACCTAAAGGTCAGGGGTCCATTTACCTTTACCTAAGCTACCTTACCTATGAAGCAGGTGAAGACTTGGGTTGAGGCTGTGCCACAATGTGATGTGGCTGGACAAAAGGCAATTCTATTTTACTTGAGGTTGCAGAACAGTATGAGGTATGGAAACAAGCCCCTTGAGGCTGTTCCAAGTCAGCAATGCAGAGGATTTCTGCTGTTCAAGATTAGAATTCCATCTTTTTCTAGCCCTGCTTGAGGCTTCTGTCATGCGCAGTTGGGTTTCTAAAGGGACTTGCTCTGTGTTTTAATATAAATTGCAGCGCAGCACAGTTGCAGTTGAATTATGGCAAAGAATTGATAACGTCATGTTCATATAAGCATACAGTCCGTTGCTGTCTGAGAATTTTTTGCAAACAATATAAATCTAAGAAAAAGAAGAAAAAAAACACACGCAAACAAAAGCATGTGCTCTGCACATTTTTTAATGTTTATTTGTGGTGGGGAGGGACCTGCTGACAAACCAAGTAACTTCTGAGGTAGATTGTCTGGTGTAATGTGTTCAGTAACACAGGATGCAGGACTGAGAAAGGTCAGATCGCTTGAGCCTCATCGGAAGGTAGCTGTTACTTCTCTTCCATTAGTGTATGAATGCCTTTAAGAGCTGCACAGCAGCAAGAAATGAAGTATGTGGCACTTTACCCTTTGAACCTTTGCCTGCAATGCAGCTATTGAGAGCGCACGAATCCTGTCAGAAAATGTGTAAGTCCTACATGGGAGCATCTTGTAGCTATAGAGTGGGATGTTTCCCTGACCATGTCATTCCATGTGTTGGGGTGCAGGAGTAAGCCTGCAAGTGAGAATTGGCAACAGGTCATAGACTGGCCTTTAGATGTCCAAAGCTGCTGCAACAGGCAGTTCAGATGGGTGGCATAAAAGTTTTGTTGGGAATTACACATGGTGAAGAGATGCAGTAATAACACTGGACATGAAATTATTTATCATCATCTTCATCATGTATTTAATTTGCACTCCATCTTTCTACTAAATGGTGCTCAAGGTAACTCTGTGGCTGTGGCAGTGCTGGAGAAGTGGGTGTTTGTCAGGAGGAGGTGAGAAATTATGAGGCAGAGCGGTGATGGAGTAGTGGAAATGATGCAAGGAGTTGCAGATCCACAGCTGGAATAGGTCTGAAACCAGGGATCAACTTGAGATGGGGTGATAATGAGTATGTGATTGAATGCAGTGCTTTTCCAGAACCTTAAAGACAAAATAAAGTTATTTATTTTCATGAGCTTTCATGGAGTGGAATCCTCTTCATCAGATGCATGAAATGTTATCCTGAGTTAATCAGTTCCCTTTAATCTCATCCTTTGCCTTGTTGTTTTCAGGGCTCTGTTTACCTATGAGGGTAACAGCAATGACCTGAGAGTGGCTGGGACAGGAGGTGAGTGCATTTTGAGAAGTGTACCTTTTACTATATAAGTGGCCTGGGGATTTTATTTTTGTGTTTGTCTGTGCTCCTGTGTTTATAGAGAAGATTGCATTTATTTCTCTGCTTGACAAGCTGCTTTTTGTTACTCAAATGCAACTTGCCCTGTGGCCCAGTTAGTCTTATCTCTCTTGACATTGTTCTGAAAGCATCTCCCTTTTCTGCATGCACCATGAAAAGACCAGTTTCTTGAGTGGTTTGCCTGTTTTTGCTCATTCAGAAACAAGCAGGATTCTGAGAAGTGTTCAGTAAAATGAAGCGTGGGAGGCAAAGTGAACGACACCTCCACTCTGTCAAGGGAAAGGAAGCAAGACATTTTATATCGAGCGTGTTTTCAATACAATGTGGAAGTGAAGCGGTGAGGTTAATAGTTTACATGGCCATTTTGAAAATAAATTAAACCTTTTGTGTGTGCTTCAGTGTCTGAAACAGAAACTCCAGAGGAAGAAAGTTAACTACTAGGCAGAATGCCCGACTTAAGATTAAATGCAGTATGTGAGGAATTCTGTATAAAATGGCAATTTCAAACAACTTAACTCCTTGGCAAGCTCACTCATTTTTCAGCAATGCCTGCAAAGAAACCTTAAAGTAAAAGTGAGGCAGGCTAGGATCTCACCATGATGGGATCTATTGTCAAAATGGTGTAGATGTCAAAAGGCAAAACATTTCTGTTACTGGTGAAATTTTCACTTTTCTTCCCAATACTTATGCCCCGTGGCATGAATTACATACAGTAGTGGAGGTTAAAGGAAGCCTTTCTGCTTTGCCATGATTTATGAATTGGTAATCCATGGTTTGTGATCAGCTAGCAAATCCAGTTGGTTCAGCCTGGGTTTGCAAGCTATGGCATACTTACTAGCATTCAGGCTCCCCCCCCCCTATGTATTATTGTAGTTTATTTCATTTATTGTAAATATTATAGTCATGGGAGAGTTAATGCTATATACAACTGGTTAAAGTTAAAAGTTGGCTGCCTTTCAATTGGTTAAAATACAAGTTTAGAAGAGAGCAAGGCTTCAAACCTATCCGTACTTAGTAAGCCCCATTGTATTTAGTGGGACTTACTTCTGAGTAGACAGGGAAAGCAAACACATTTCTAAATCACAATTTGCGCAGTGTTTTCACACCATGATGTGGATTCTAAACTATGGTTAGGGCTAAGCCATGTTTTGGGTGTGTCCGAACCAAGTCAGAGTAATGCTTTCAAGCCATTAACTCTTGATGGTTCCAATAAAAAAAAGTTTAATTTGCCTGAGACCAGTCTTTCTCGTGCTTTTAATAGGTGTGTGGGAAATAGAATGATGGAAGGTGCTATTTCTTCATTAGTGACTGTTTTATTTATCATAAAGCTTCAAGGACAGAAGCAATTTTCCTTCTGTAGCTATGAAGGGCAGAGACCACAGTTCCTGGAAATCTTAATAGGAAGGCAGTAGAAAAGGAGAAGCTCCATGTTGAAGACAGCTCATCTAAAACCTCTTCTCCTTCAGCTGTAGAAAAAGGGAAGCAGCTTTTTTTGGGGGGGGAGGATTTGATGGGTGAGAAAGAATTAAAGTTCAGCTGTGGTCTGGGCCTGAGAAGTTAGCTTCTTCAAATTTGACCTGTGTTTTGAGATGACTGGTTCCTACATAAGGGAATTAAAATATGCGACTGTCAAAAGAATACAGCTTTAAGAGGAACCTGTTACTGTAAAATTAAAAAGTTTCTCAAATAAAAGGTAACATATCTGATGATGAGGTCATAAGGAGTAGCACTTCGTAGAAAAGTGAACTTTGCCTTTGAAATTGTTGCAGCAACAAAATTGCAGGGGCAAATTATGAGTGGATAGACTTTGATTCTGAAGTGTGGGTTATGTCAACAGAACATATTTTTGCTTTGTTCAGGGCACAGAATGTGTGTTTCTGCCATATTTAAAAATGCCTTCACCCTGTGCTTCCCCAAGGGTTCAACTCCTGAGATCACTTAAATTGGCATTAAGTCCTATTGAATATGGTGAGACTTGCTTCTGCCAAGCTCTGCCCAAAGTCCTTAAAAATGCACACACTCCAGGTTCTGAGAAAAAGTGAATGCACAAATAATAGAAACCATCCAAATAGGTAGAAGGTGTGCTTTCTTGCTGTTAACTTTTTGTTAGTGGTGAGAACTGACAGGCTTAGTGCTGAACAGGGTGGTGCTGGTAGTAAAAAGGTAAGATCCTGCACCTCCTGAAGCATGTCCTTAACTACCGTATTTTTCGCTCTATAACACGCACCCATATTTTTCGCTCTATAACACACACCCGACCATAACACACACACAGTTTTTAGAGGAGGAAAACAAGAAAAAAAATCTAAACGAAACAGTGGATGTATGATTTTTGTGGTTCATGCTGTGGCCACAGACATGTGATCTGACGGTGAGTTTGGGGTAGCCCAATGCAAAAACCCTGAGGATCCATGTGGATCCATGCTTTGTAACCACATTTTTGCACCACTGCGGCCCCAGGCAACAGTGGGTGTGTGCTTTTTTTGGTGCAAGCTGTAGCCATGGACATGCTCTGTGATCTGATGGTGAATTTGGGGTGACCCAGTGCAAAAATCCTGAGGATCCATGTGGATCCGTGCTTTGTAACCATGTTTTAGGTGGGGAGGGAAGGAAAAGCACTCAAGGGACAAGGAGCACGCGTGGGGTGTGTGGAGAAGGATGCTGCTAATAATGCAGAAGAGGGTATAAGAGGAGAAGGAACACGCGTGGGGTGTGTGGAGAAGGATGCTGCTAATAATGCAGAAGAGGGGTTTAAGGGGAGAAGGAACACGTGTGGGGTGTGTGGAGAGGGATGCTGCTAATAATGCAGAAGAGGGGTATAAGAGGAGAAGGCTCCTCTCCTCTCCCGCTTTGCTCCTTTGAAGCAAGCAGGCTCTGCTTCTCTCCCACCTCCCCAGCTTAGCGCTTAGCGATCTGAAAAACCTCGCTGCTATTTCGCGAGCTGAGTGGGGAGAAGAGAGGGACATGGTTGCTTTAAAGGAGCCAACCAGACAGGAGCCGCTTACACTTGTGTAAGCGGCTCCTCTCCTCTCCCGCATTTCTACTTTGAAGCAAGCAGGCTCTGCTTCTCTCCCTCCTCCCCACTCAGCGGCTCTTCTCCCGCTTTGCTGTTTCAAAGCGAGCCACGGAGGAGGGAAGGAAGGGGAACCATGGATCCTCTGCTCACGACTGCAGCAGATCCCCCCCGCCACCCGCAGGCATTCGCTCCATAACACGCACAGACATTTCCCCTTACTTTCTAGGAGGAAAAAAGTGAGTGTTATGGTGCAAAAAATACGGTATGTTCTGGATTGTAGTGTTTTGCCCAACCTCCAAAGTATCTATAACTGTTAGATTCTGCTTCTGAACTGAGTTCCCCAAGCATTCTCTGCAAGAATTCTGGGAAAACAGCAGGATCCTAAATGTCTTCATGCTTTCAGCTAATGTGCTTCCTGAATATTTTATGGCGGAGTAATATTTCTAGACGGATGTTCCGTCCTTCCTCAGTGGTTCAATTTACCAACAATGTTCCTTTGGTTAGCTTGGAATTTGTATTTCCTCTTCCAATAGCAGCTTTCATATTGGCTTATTATTCTGGTAGAAATCAATAGGAGACAGTGACTCTGTTATCTTTTGTCTTAATTGTATGCTGAAAAGATCTAAAGAAACTACAAAATTTACGATTCCTAATACCATTGTTCTATCAAATTTATGTGACAGTCTGGCCTGGCAGGGAGTCTATTGTGACCCATAAGGCAGTTTTTTGCTCAGCCATGCCCGCTTGTCAATATGGTGACATCACCTACACCCCCTGTCAATCATCTGTGGTCATTTGCATTGTTTCTGCGTTGCTGCAGCAATGTCCGGTGTTGATTGCCCTTTCTGCTGCAAAAGAATGAGCCTTACATTCTCAGCCATGTGAGGTAGATTAGGCTGAGAGAGACTGGTTTATTTTTGGTATCTTCCAGTGAGGTTTGTAATTGAACAGGGATTTGGAGCAGAGTTTCCCATGTCCAAATCCCAGCATTTTGTCTGCTACATTACCTCTGTGTGTTGTAGAAGGCCAATTGTGTTAGTAGGTTTATATAAACAAAGGCTAGGCTCCAAATAACCATGGAACTAGTTCTGTGTATCCAGTGGGCTTTAGACTTGGGCTTTCTTGAATAGAAGACGCTCTAAATTCTGCATATCAAGCGTTTTGAAACAGAATGGAGTGTCGAAAGCTTCAGTGAGGGCGGTTTTGTGAGCTGTATGGGGACCAGCTTTTCACAGCAAAAAAAGAAGCCACGCATTTCACTGCACTAATGCAAGTACTGTTATGAGCAGTCTTAATGTGTGACATTGTATTTCAGCCCCTATTTATAAACACTTTGAGCTAATGGATGTTACCTGTTGTGCAGTGTGATTTAATCTTTGTCCTGTCCTTGCTTACCGGATTTTGTTGACAAAGTTAATCGGTTGCTTTGACTTCTACCTGTTATTCTTCTCGTCAAACTATACTATACAGATGGTGGCCTGGAGGAGATGGTGGAAGAGCTCAATAGTGGGAAAGTGATGTATGCTTTCTGCAGAGTGAAAGATCCGAACTCCGGCTTGCCTAAATATGTGCTCATCAATTGGGTATGTAGAATATGGTTCCGTTTGGCTATGGAAGTTAGGGGATGTAGCCTTCGTTATGAAAAAGATGAAGCCCTTTCACAGTAAAGCACCAGTGTTAGATAATCCAACACCTAGATCCCAGCTGTATCACACGTACCAATGCGGCTGTTCAGGTGCAACCCTAATCCAGGGTCTTTCCTCTTTTCCCTCATGCACAGAGATCAGCACCAATCCTAGTTTGTGATAGTTGTTTGCAGATTGTCCAAACAGACTCTTTTTTTGTGTGTGTGTGCCTGCCAGCAAATGAATGTTTGGTCCTCCTTTGCAGGCAAGTGTGCTTGTTTGTGTGAAACATTGTTCTATGGCTTACCACAAATAGGGAACTGGAAATGGCTAATCTCTGTGTGCAAGGGGAAGAGAGAGCCCCCAGCATTTGCCTCGATGATGAAAAGGCCACCAACACTGGGGCTGCAACCCTGTGCAAAGTTATCTGTGATGTTAGTCCTATTTTAACTTAACTTTCTTAACAAAGATGTATAAAATCAAATGTTTTAATCGCAGTCACTATATATATAGAGAGAGAGAATTTAAAATATAAGCATTCATTTTATATTGCCAAGGGGGGCCTTGCAAAGCTGCTGCAAATTCTCTGCACAAATGTTAAGGAAACTTCAGTGAAAGAGCAAACAGCTGACTAGAAGGAAAACAAGATAGCAGAAAGTGGGGCAAAAGTTGTAGGAAGTATGATCAGCCTTATGGAAACTGCCAGCCACTACCACTAAGACTTCTCTGGAAAAAACACATTAATATGAAATGTGTAGATGATGTCATAAACTAGGTTTTTTTTTCCAGTTTACTTATTTCGATAATTGGAAGTTTAGGTTAACATTTAGAATGGCAGAAATTATTAACTAAAACTGTTCCATTAATGTTTTAATCTGAGAATTTAGTGATATTTAGAATTCAGGCTTTGCAAACCTTCCACCTTTTTTGCCTCCTAGTTCAGACTGCCATGTATCCTTTTCACCCCATTCTTCCTGGTCTACAGTTGAGGAGCTGGATCTTGTAATGATAAATGGCTCTCTTAGAATAGTTAACATAAACAGTTTGTAGAGAAGTGCCATTGGAGTCCAGTCCCTTCAGTAATTCTATTTTGGTCAAACTTCAATGTCTATACTAGGACAACGGCTTATTAGGCCAGCCAAAAGGTCGCAAAAGAGTTTTCAAACTTCCTAGTTCACAGTTTCCCAAGCTTCTCAGTTCATGGACCCCTTGATCAGTTTATAAAGTTATCATCAACCCCAAACCAAATTCTTAGGAGCATAGATGAAATGATGCCAAGAAATATCAATCTATAACCAACATTTATTAACCATAAATCACCATAGCTAAGAGTCATAACTTTAAAAAAATTAAGTACAACTAAAATAAAAAAGTAAAAGTGCACCTGTATACATTTTTTTTCAGTAAAGCAGCATGCTCTGAGAAAACTGTTGTATTACAGAATCATTAAGTACAGAGGTTCCTCATCAGCAAGAGGGGAGCTCTTTGTACAGGAGCATATTCTTTATTTCTGAGGCTCGCGTTTCTCATTAATTTTTTGCACTGTATCTTGCAAACTTCCTTTCTACCCCAGGCCCTTTTTGACCCTATGGTCTTTATTCGCAGTCCCATAGACTCCAGGGTGTCAATCTCAGCTGCAGTACTTGGGGAAACATAGTGCTAGATGATAAACCAAGCAGGATGGAGGTGAAAAAAACCATGCCTGCTGTTGAAGTCATGGCATTTGTTGCATCCGGTCATGGACTCAAGATGGAATGCCACAAGAGGCACAAGAGTCATGGAAAGGAGGCTCTGTTAGATGATATACTGGTTTCAGTTTACACCAAGACCTGCGGAGAAGAAGGAACATAAAATGATTTATCAGCAACTCCCCCCACCCAAAAAAGCTCTCTGGAAATATAAAATCCAGCTGTTACCCAGGTCTGTCTCCATGTGTGTTCAAAGTGTTTCTTTCCTCCTCCCATCTTCAGTTGCCAGTTGGCAACTCTGTTGGAGTAAAGTAAATAACCCTTGATATGTGGCGTGTCCCCCACTCCCCACTTAAGCTCCTCATGTTTTCTTTTCATAGTTTGGTGAAGGCGTTAATGATGTGAGAAAGGGAGCCTGCGCCAACCATGTCAGCTCTGTAGCAAACTTCCTAAAGGTATTTAATCTTCCGTTTTATTTTCCATCCTCGTCTTTCCTTTCAGCTGAATGCCCTCCCGTATAAATGGCTCTGTGGTCAAATGGTATCAGGAGTTTGGGGTGTGTCAACCTCTGTGCTCCCCGAATGGTAGGAGGTTTTGTGGGGTGACCTATGAGTCGCTTTTGGGGTGGGGGAGGACACTGGAGACTTAATGCTGCTCTGTAATTCCCTATTAGAAATCAAGCAGTAGGGAATAGGCAGCTACCAGACAGACGGTGCTAGTCTTGAAACCTAATTGGCCCCCAGCAGCAAAACTAGATGGAACTTTAATCTGACCTGGCAGCACTGCTCTTGCAACTCGAAATAGCCACTAACCAGTCAGAAGCCATTCAGTAAGCAGTGAGCAATATCAAGCCATACCAAAGTGAACATCCTTCCTGCAGGACAGCAATCCTCCATATATTTCCCCGTTATCACATCCACGCAGTTTGGGCTCCTTGAACCTTTCTTGTATTCATCTGTTTTTATTTCCTGACCCACATACCAAGCACTTGGGGTAGGGCAGGATTTATCCTTACGGATTTTTCTCCTTGCAGCAGGAGTGGATTAGACTAATGGTTTTAGTAATTTATATGTCTGAGCCCAGTTGCGCCCCTAACACCCATTGTCTTATGCTCTGGTAACCTCTAGGTTAGATTACAGTGGTTTGTTATACATGGGGCTGGCTCCAAAGATTGTTCAGAAACTTCAGCTGGTGCAGAATTCGGTGGCCAGGTGGGGCAAGGTGGTTTGAGCATTTGACACCAATCCTGGCCTGTCGGCACTGGCTTCCAAATAGTTTCCAGACCCAATTTGAAGTGCTGGTTTTGACCTATAAAGCCTTAAACAGCTCAGGACCACAATACCTCCAAATACGTATGTGCACGAGATTGACATTTGTTGGAAATAGGTTCAAATGTAGTGAGGTTCTCAGACCATTTACATACAGGCAACTTGCAATTTGCATTGGCTGGCTTCGCGGTTTTTCCTGCATCGTGATTTTTGCCAGTTCCTGCTCTTGTGATTCACTTACCCCTGCAGGAGGCAGGGGTGAGCTGAGCTGGCAGAGTTAACAGGGGTGACGAGAGTCGAGAGAAACATTGGCTGGCTTTGTGTTTTTTCAGGCATTGTGATTTTTGTACAGCACACACATAAATTGCCATGTCAAAAATTATGAAACAGTTATCACGATACGGACTTCAAATGGTTTTGGACGATATAGCAATATATCACCCAGCCCTACTTTCATCACCCAGCAGCTCACCTAAAGCACAACGGGAACCTTCTGATTTCTCATCCCCAGTCTCTGCACAGTGCAGTCCTAGGGGATAAGGGTGGCTGAGACTACGAAATTTGCAGCTGAGTTACTGCTTATTGCCAGAAGTCAGGAATGCAAGATGAGATTAAAGTAGCGGAAAAGCTACAAAAACTTGGAGTTTGTGGGGAAGGAAATACCACCTCAGAGCATTCAGATACATTTTGGAGGGGGAGGGAGCATGGAAACGACCCTAGTGAAATTGTTTTTATACAAGCCACCTTGGGGGGAGTCCTTTTGTGTTGAACGTTCTGGCAGAAAAGAGAGAGAGAGATTCCAGATTGCCCTTCACTAGAGCAAGATTTAGTCTTGGACTGACTGATGATGCTCTCCTGCCCTCTAGCTCTCCCTTCTCTCCATCTCATTTCAGGGTGCTCATGTAACAATAAATGCTCGGGCTGACGAGGATGTGGAGCCAGATGCCATCACAGAGAAAGTGGCCAAGGCTTCGGGAGCAAACTACAACTTTCATAAAGAAGGCAGCAAGTTCCAGGAGGCAGGTCCTCAGACTCCAGTGGTGAGTTGCTCTGAGCTCTTGGTAGCATTGGTTGTGGCATACAGGAGGAGGAACATTGTGGTGAATGGACTGGCTAGGCTGCTGAGAACTTTTTGTTGGCACCTGAGCTAAAATAAATAACCTACACCGAAGGCCAATAGTTTGTATGGCATGTGTTGCTTCACAGAAGCAGCTTGTCTTGGAGCTTTAATTTAGGAGCTTGTGTTGTGAAGAGACAAGGGATTAGATTTCGTCTCTTTAAAAAAAATAATTGGGGAACCTGGGGGTTCACAGTGCCTCTGGAAGGCCCACCTCTTCCGTTCCAAGTTCCAAGGAAGGTGTCCCAGGGAGAGCAGGTGTAGGGAAGAGCTATTTGCAAGGATGGAGTCTTCAAAAACAATGCTTTAATTTTTTTAAAATTGGTTTCAGTAAGCATGCAAAAACAACAAACTAAAAGTGAAGAATAGCCATTCCACCACAAAGCCAGTACATAAAGAAATCTCTAAGGTAGCATTTGTTGCAGGAGGTTTAAATGAGGCAACTGATTTATTAACCCAAGTGACAAAAAAAAGAACCATATAGTATCAAATCGTACCTTTTTAAAGCGAGACCCCTCACAGTGCTACTTCCCAGCCTCTTGATAACCAATTACTCAATGTAAAGCCAGCTCCTGTTTTCCACTTAGCTGCTGCATGGTTGGAAATCTCAACTGATAAAAAAAGCCACCAGGATTCATGCTTTCAAAAGGTATCTGTGCTAGAGGAGGGGAGGCTGCCCTCGCCCTGCTGGATGGAGAGGCCAGAGTGGTTTGAAAGATTGGATCTAGTTTGGTGTGTATGAATCGTATGTGTGTATGTTTGTGAGTCTAGGTTGAATGAGGGGTTGGGATATACATGAACGACTTGAAGGAATACCTCCTCCCACATCGACCTGCCTAGGTTTTAAGATCAGTAGGGAGGCCCGGTTGTTAGGGCCATTGCCCTCTGTGGTTTGAGGAGGGCTTTTTGTGCGGAATGCCTTTTCCTCTGATTTGTGCCCTCCGCCATAGTTTGGTTTTTCGCCATTGGTCAGGGTGCGCTTCTTTACCCAGGCCTTTTGGCAGATGTGTCCCCTCCTCCTGCGATGCTGCTGCTGTTTTGTCATTGGTGGGTTTTGTGTTTTTACGGGTGGGTTTGCATTTCATTTAAAAACGTTCCTTTTTAACCAGGCCTTTGGTTGATTTGATTGACATCCTATGCCCTTTTAAGATGTGGTTTTGGGGTGGGGGTAGGGGTATTGGGTTGTTGTTGTTATTGTTGTTATTATTATTATGATAATGATGTATTTTGTGGTTTTATATTCTGATTTTATTCTGTGAACCATCCTGAGACTTGTGGGTATAAGGCGGTATAGAAATTCAGTTAATAATAATGCAAACTGAATTTGTTATAACTGTGACATTTTTGCAGCCCATTCTTTGGTGCATAGCAGGCTATACATACAAGTAATAAAAAATAAAATAAATATGTAGGGGGGTTGTTTTAAGTAAAGTATCACCTTAATTTAAGAACACCCTCTATGCTCTCTCATTTTCTTAAGAATTTTTAAAGAATCTTAAAAAGAGAAATTGTGCAAGATAGAATGTGTGTTTGTAGGATGGTGTTAGTCGCACTTCCTACCCACATGCAACCGCTGACAATCACAAAGGAGACGATGCCTTCAGTGGGGGGTGGGGACTCACCATTCCTGGTTTTAAGGGAAACAGGTAGTTTTCAGAGCTCCTGAGAAATATAGACTGACATGACAAACTCTACAAGAATACGTTGGGATCTGATGGGTAGCATAACCTTATTTACTGTATAGAATTGGTTGTGAAAATCACCTCTGTCAGAGATTATGTTTTCATAAAAATCCAAGGCTGTTACTTCAGACAGGTGGAATAAGGGCTCCTGTCCTCTTCTGAAGATGCAGGTGAATGTGCTATTGAGAATAGGTGTAGAAAGATGCAGAAGAACACAGGATGCTTCTGGACCAGTATCTTCGGTCTTATTCAACATCTTTATCAACGACTTGGATGATGGACTCAAGGGCATCCTGATCAAATTTGCAGATGACACCAAACTGGGAGGGGTGGCTAACACCCCAGAGGACAGGATCACACTTCAAAACGACCTTGACAGATTAGAGAACTGGGCCAAAACAAACAAGATGAATTTTAACAGGGAGAAATGTAAAGTATTGCACCTGGGCAAAAAAAATGAGAGGCACAAATACAAGATGGGTGACATCTGGCTTGAGAGCAGTACATGTGAAAAGGATCTAGGAGGCTTGGTTGACCACAAACTTGACATGAGCCAACAGTGTGACGCGGCAGCTAAAAAAGCCAATGCAATTCTGGGCTGCATCAATAGGAGTATAGCATCTAGATCAAGGGAAGTAATAGTGCCACTGTATTCTGCTCTGGTCAGACCTCACCTGGAGTACTGTGTCCAGTTCTGGGCACCACAGTTCAAGAAGGACACTGACAAACTGGAACGTGTCCAGAGGAGGGCAACCAAAATGGTCAAAGGCCTGGAAACGATGCCTTATGAGGAACGGCTAAGGGAGCTGGGCATGTTTAGCCTGGAGAAGAGGAGGTTAAGGGGTGATATGATAGCCATGTTCAAATATATAAAAGGATGTCACATAGAGGAGGGAGAAAGGTTGTTTTCTGCTGCTCCAGAGAAGCGGACACGGAGCAATGGATCCAAACTACAAGAAAGAAGATTCCACCTAAACATTAGGAAGAACTTCCTGACAGTAAGAGCTGTTTGACAGTGGAATTTGCTGCCAAGGAGTGTGGTGGAGTCTCCTTCTTTGGAGGTCTTTAAGCAGAGGCTTGACAACCATATGTCAGGAGTGCTCTGATGGTGTTTCCTGCTTGGCAGGGGGTTGGACTCGATGGCCCTTGTGGTCTCTTCCAACTCTATGATTCTTCAGTTCAGATACTCCTGTTATCTCAAAGCTACCACTTGTGCAACCTACCCGTTTGCTGCAGCACAATCTGACTTTTCTCACTGAATTATCAAACTGAATACAATTGTACCTCGGGTTAAGTATTTAATTCATTCCAGAGGTCCATTCTTAACCTGAAACTGTTCTTAACCTGAAGCACCACTTTAGCTAATGGGGCCTCCTGCTGCTGCCGTGCCGCCGGAGCCCAATTTCTGTTCTCATCTTGAAGCAAAGTTCTTAACCCAAGGTAATATTTCTGGGTTAGTGGAGTCTGTAACCTGAAGCGTATGTAACCTGAAACGTATGTAACCCGAGGTACCACTGTAAATAATAGTGCAAATAGTTAATATTGCAGTAACACATTAGTTCACTATTGGTATATTTTTGTTACAAAGCTGTAGGAAGTGGACTTAGAAAAGACACAAAAGAGGGCACATGGGAAGCCCCTGGAATTCAGTGTAACAAATTATATATTTAACCCGAGGTACCACTGCATTAGTATTCTTAAACTGGAAATCTGCCTCTCTCTCCCACTGATATGCTTCTAGATAGCTGCTGGCAAGTCTTAATTGATTAGTCATAAAATCCTCTCTGCGGGAAACAGTGTGCCACCTAAAGATCTTTCCTTCCACCTTTTTTTTGGGGGGGGGAGGCAGGCGTAAGTGCCCCATAATTCTTGCATTCTGGTCCTTTGTTGGAAAAATTCATGAGGAAGCTTTAAAATGTCAAAATGCATGCATTCCTGAAAGGACTGTACTTGCATTTCGTTGACTAGGATTACCCTATATATCGACATCACTCACTAGATGTTGGGAGCATTTAGCTATGCAGAAATTAAGACATCAGGTTTAGGAAGCGCTTGGTCAATAGTAAATTGCCTTTTCTTCTCTGTTAGGTTTCTATTTGTAATATTTTTTCTATTTGTAATATTTTATGTTTTAAAATTAATTGCCTGTTTTAATCAACTTCTCACATGCTCTCAGATTAATTTATTTAATATCTGGACGAGTTATTTTTGAGGTTGTGTTAATGGGAGTTAAATTTGGCCTTCCAACAAACTGTTTTGGAAGATGAAAGTGATTGTAGGCGGAAGAATGTGGAAATTAAGTAGAAATTTGCAAAAGGGAAATGGACGTTTACAAATTTCAGAATCTGCATCCTAGAGAGAGAGAGAGAGTTTATCCTTTTGCTTTGTGACTTCTGAATGGATCTGGATAATGCTGCTGATCCTGTTTGGAGTTCCTAAGCGAGAAATCCGGGTGATGACACTGATGTCATTCAGATGGCAGCTCTCATTATTATTATTATGTTTTATTATTAGTATTTTATTATCTCTGCCAAGTTTTAAGTACTGAGAGTATTAACTTATCTGCATCTGGTTATTATTATCTTTCTCCCTGTCCTGACCATTTATATTTATAATCTTTCAATTTGGCTGATCTATTTACTTAACCGACCTGGAACAATCTACCAGAGAAAAGGCCGCCGCCCATGGGACAGAGGGTCATTGATGAATGATAATCCAGCTTTTACCTAGGGTTTTAATAGGCCATAAGATTGTATGGCAACTATATTTGTAATGTATTTTTGTTGGTGTTTGTCCTTCGATGCTATGGCCTGTTGGCTACGCAAATAAAGTCTTTGTTGTTGTTGCTGTTTGGAGTTCACAACTGCCATTGCTCCACATGTGTGCTCTGAATTGGCCGCTGATATGACTGATGGCATTTTTTAAAACCTTATTTGTACCGGAAGATTTGCAGAAAGCAAAGATACTTTTTCTTGATCATTGATCAGTGAAGCACTTCCCGCTGCAAATATTTCCTTCCTCCTTTTCTTGCTCTTTTGAAGTTCCGTTGCCTCTTCCCCTTGAAAAATCTTATCTCTGTTCTTTTCATCTTTAGCAGCCACATTTTCACATCCCAGCAGACCACTAACCATCGTTTACTGTGAATGAGGATTGTGCTAATGCATACTCTTGAATTGTACTTGTTTGCAATCTCTAACCAGTCAGATGGGTGGCGTATAAATAATATTATTATTATTACTACTATTACTATTACTTTTACTATGTAGATGGGCAGACTGGCTAGTAAAATTACTTGGTCCTGTAATTCTTGCACTTTCCTGCATAGCTGAGCTCACAGATGTGAGTTAAAATGTGGCTTAATGCATTCTTACTACCTCCTTCCCCAAGACCTTTGCAGCCAGGGAATATTCTCAATTTGAATGTCCTCTGTAATGGTTTGAGTAGAATATACGAAGTATTTTGTTAACACTTCCCAAATTCAGTATAATGTGGCTCTAAGAAGTGTAGACTTAGCAGCTTCCATGCATTTTATTTAACAACTAATAGCAACTAAGGATGTTTTTTAAACTCTGTGATCCTCTTACACAACAGGGCTCGGTCTACCAGAAAACTAATGCCATGTCTGAGATCAAAAGAGTCAGCAAAGATAGCTTCTGGGCCAAAGCAGAGGTATGTACTTAATTCGAACAACTTCCGTGTGCCTGTTTTTGCTGGGGTGGTCTTGCAGTTCCCTCATGTTTTCATTGCATGCTTTATCTCATTCCTTGCAAAGCAAAAGCAATTAGTTTCAAACCAGTGGAGCAGAGTCTGTGTTTGTAACTAAGCTGTATCAGAGAGGCTGTAAAGCGTTTTGGTTACATTTTCATTTATATTGGTGCTTCCTGCCCAAAGTATTTCCTGGCATCCGCAGAAAGGGTGTTGTGCCAGCAGTCCCTTTGCACTGGCTTTCTGTTCACTTCCAGGCACAATTCAAGCAGCTGGGTATGACCCGTGGAGCCCTGAATGACTTAGACTCCATTAAAATCTCTGAGATCCACTCAAGTCACCCCTCTTAATGACAACAGCTCTTTGTCTGGTTCAGATCGAAAAGGTGAGAACAGCAGTCGGCTGTTCACTACTGACAGAACTCCCTTTTCAATGCAAATTCTCCAAAGTCCAAGCCCTGGACAATTTTCGGAACACCGATTTTCAGAGCAGTCTAGTCTACTGAGCCCAGTAGACGGCCTAGTTTTGGGAGCTAAGTTTTAACTTGGGCATGGAGAGAGAAATCAAAATGTTGTGCAGATAAATTATTTGAGTGGTGGGTGAGGATGGAGCATTGTTGGAGAGCTAGTATGGTGTAGTGGTTAAGAGCGGTGGACTTGTAATCTGGTGAACCAGGTTTGCTTCCCCGCTCCTCCACATGCAGCTGCTGGGTGACCTTGGGCCAGTCACACTTCTTTGAAGTCTCTCAGCCCCACTCACCTCACAGAGTGTTTGTTGTTGGGGGAGGAAGGGAAAGGAGATTGTTAGCCGCTTTGAGACTCCTTCGGGTAGTGATAAAGCGGGATATCAAATCCAAACTCTTCTTCTTCTTGTTGTTGTTCTGTTTATATGTCCTGCACCTTCAGGATGTGATGGCCTATTTAAAAAATATAAATTATTTGTCCTACTGTGAAAGAGGCACGTTGAAGCACCTTCCAGGGGAGGGCCCTGGAAATAAAGAAATTACCATTCATGGTGGAGTTCTGTATTACGCTGACCTCATAGCATGAGTTATTTGTAAAGTGTGTTAGAATAAGGAGTAGAAGGTGATAAGTCGACTTGTCGGCATTAAAAATGGAAAAGAACTAAGGTGCAACCATTAAATACAACATACTTTTGAACCTCTAACTTGGCCACCATAGGCAAATTAGATGTTTCTCCCAGGCAAGTGGCCAGGCTGCCAGAAGAGGTATGGAAAAGCCTTGCACTTTCTTCTGCAATCCACTGCATTTCTGTGCTGGATAATGGAGAAGGAAGGATCCCTCCTTTTCATCTAGCAGGCTAACAGCGGAGACAGAAATCACCCCATCCTTTCTCCAGCAAGATACAGAGGGGGTGAAGCTCTCTCCTCCAAATCAAGCAACGAAACCAAGAGGGCTGCCATCAGCCTGCTCTGCTACTACGCTAGACACCCAGCAGGCGAACCTCTTGCAGATCAAACATAGAAACGTGCTGGGCTTGTGCCAAAGAGACAGAACAGTCTGTTCTTTTACCACTAGCCCACTACTGCTAGTTAGTGTAGGCCAGTCTTTCCCAAACTTGGGTCTCCATCAGTTTTTGGACTACAGCTCCCATCATCCCTAGCTAGCAGGACCAGTGGTCAGGAATGATGGGAATTGTAGTCCAAACCCCCCCCCCCAATGGAGACCCAAGTTTGGGAAACCCTGGTGTAGACAATACTGACCTGGATGGACCAATGCTCTGACTTGGTATAAGGCAAATTTCCATGTTCCTGTACTGGACAAGCAGGATGCGACTTCACCTCATGCGCAGCTGCCATAGAAACAGGGCAGGCTAGTGGAGGAGGGATAGATCAATCCTTTCTTTGTTCCTATGCTGGATGCACAAGAAGGTGAAGCCCACTCCCACATAAACAGCGCAGAAACTCAGTGGGCTGGTGGCAGAGGCGCAGATCCCTTCCTCCATTCCTCCTCCATTGTGCTTCTACATTAGACATGACAGAGGCAAAGCTAGTAATTTTGAGGGGCTGGGTGAATGTTTTAACATAGAGTGTGAGTAGACTAAGATTCACGTCTGGTGGAAGGGGAGGAAGTAACCTATTCTTCAAAGGTTGCTGCTTTTAATTCGGACTTGTTGCGCTCACCCTTTCAGAAAGATGAGGAGAACCGCCGACTAGAAGAGAAGAGGAAAGCAGAGGAGGAGCGTCAACGCCTGGAGAAAGAGCGCCGAGAGCGGGAATTGCAGGAAGCAACTTTGCGCGAGCGAAGATATAAGGAGCGAGCCAGTGAGATAGATGCTCAGAAGTGAGTCTGTTTAATTTTAACAAAAGCCACATTAATTGCTACCTCAGTTGAGCAGATATATATTGGCACTCTAATTTCTGCGAAGAGAAAATTGCTGGGGAGAAGTACCACTTACACCTCTGTGAATCCAGCCTGAGAATTTACGGCTTCAGTTTAATGATTTTTGTCTTGCAAGATTGGAGTCAACTGTATTCGGGATATACGTGGCTTATCTTCTCTGGGGTGCTGGCCTTGCTCATTCATATCATTGCTCCTTTTCCCTCAACCCACCCCAAACCACACAGGAAGCCCCAAATAATGAGGCAAGCAATGCAGTTTGTGAACCCAAGCAAACACATTGAGTTTTTTCATTTACTTGCCTAAGCGTGTTTCCTGTGAGTTCTGTTGTTACAGATCCGGAGGAAGTTGTCAATGCAATGGCCTATGCCAGTCTTTCTGATGCACTGCTTTCCTGTGACCGTAAAAGTCCTCCCAGTGTTGTCCCGGGAGCTCAGAGCAGTGCTTTAGCATCTCAACAATGATGAGACTAGTTGGGTTGAGAGTGTGACCTTCCAAGGGCCACACAGTAAATTTCATAGTTGGGGAGGTGATTTGAACTTTCACAACACTCTGAAGAAATATTTCTTTTCTCTTTGGAATTGAAGTGAGTGTTAAATATTTAAAAGATATACAGTATAGCCCTGGTTTTGATTTGTTTTTAAATCAAATTATCTCCAGTACAGATAAATTAAGATACAGTGGTACCTCGGGTTACAGACGCTTCAGGTTACAGACACTTCAGGTTACAGACTCCGCTAACCCAGAAATAGTACCTTGGGTTAAGAACTTTGCTTCAGGATGAGAACAGAAATCGCGTGGCGGCAGTGAGGGGGCATTAGTTAAAGTGGTACCTCAGGTTAAGAACATTTTCAAGTTAAGAATGGACCTCCAGAACGAGTTAAGTTCTTAACGCAAGGTACCACTGTACAGTGGTACCTCAGTTTTCGAGTGTCTTGGAAGCTTTTCGGTTTTCGAACGCCAAAAATCCAAAAGTAAATGCTTCTGTTTTTGAACGTGCCTCAGAAGTTGATTTATTTTTTAAAAAAAATTCTCCACTGAAATTGCAGGCCGCCCTTTGTGCCTCGGTTTTCAGACGTTTTGGAAGCCGAACAGTCTTCTGGAACGGATTACGTTCGAAAACCGAGGTACCACTGTACTTTAAAGAGGCGGCAGAATAGCATCTGCTATAACAGTAAGCAGCAAAAAAGAGAGAATCTCACACTCTTCAGAAAATGGAGCACTTACAGCACTTTCAAAAGAGTAGCCCCTTGAGGACACCCTGTGACAATCCCAGATGAAATAATGTCCGCCTCTCCTGCCGTGCCCTGCCGACACCAGAAGTAATTGTCTCTTGAGAGCAGGGCTTAGGTCAGATGGTATGTTGTTCCTGGCTTACGTCTCAGTGATGTGGCATCAAAGAGATTTGGGGTGGGGGATATGATGTTAAAAGTCCTGTGGTGTTCCTGTCACCAGACTTCAGTGAGCCCAGGGGAAATACCCCTGAGGTGCGCAGCCAAAATTATCCTGCCTCCGTAGAGACAGATCTTTAGGGGGACTTCCTTGTAGTTCTTTTCAAAAGTATTTCTGCTGCAAAGGTTGAGGAAACTGTTCTTTGGCATAATGCGCTAAAAATTGAATTTGAACTTGCTGATGGTTTTCCTGTTCCACTCTTTTAAGCTTAGCTTTGAGAAAGCAAAAAGTGTAAAATAAAAACAACATAGACCGCAAAATACGTGTGCACTACATAAAAATAGCAGAATACATAAAAACTGAAGTATCTGGAAAAGGCAGAGTATAACTTGGTATAATATTCCATATAACCATAAAAATGTATTTTGGGGTTATAATCATAGGTTAGCATTGGAGTTAAGTGCAGAATGGGATATGGGATTATTACTGTGTGTGTTAACTTCAGCTAAATGTGCACAGCTGCAAGTGTAGGGTAATGTTTTATGGATGACATGGATCTGTTATGAAAGAAAGAAGGAAAGAATTGCCATGACATTTGCAGTGTGTTGGATTTTATTCATAAACCATTTTAAATGCTAGTTTTCAGGATAGCATTCTCTTTTTACTGATATGTGTGTGTGTGTGTGTGTGTGTGTGTGTGTGTGTTGTGTGTATATATGTGGTTTGTCTTCTTGGAATTTGTATATTATGAAAATAAAAAGTCTGAAGCATCTTAGTTAAAAAAAGCAGCACTAGCAATTAAAAGCCTTCTTAAAGATCCAGTTCTGGGTGGGAGGCTGGTTTTCCTTGGGAAGGAATTCTATAACCATGGTACTCTCTTACTGAAAAGTCTTTTGTGCCCACTCACTTCATTTCTGAATCAGAGTTGGAAGGGACCCCAAGTGTAATCTAGTCCAATACTCTGCTAATGCAGGAAATCTGGAATGTAGGAAGCTCCATTAACAGTGAGTCATATTTTTGGCCTGTCTAGTCCAGAATTGTCTTTCTACCCCAGCAGCACCAGGAGGTGCTAACAAATTAAACCTGGGTCTTTCTACATGCAAAGCATTTTTTATATATATATAAAAGTTATCATTGCCTTTATTATATTCCTCCTCCCCCCCCCCCCCAAGGAGCTCACAGTAGTGTTCTTCTTTCCGCACCCCTCCATTTTACACTCACGGCAACTTGTGAGGGGTAGGTTAGGCTGAGAGAGAGTGACTGCTCCAAGGCCACCCAGTGAATTTCATGGCTGAGTTGGAATTGAGTTGAATCCTCGTCTCCTAAGTCCTAGTCTGACGCTCTAAAAATCACACTCTCTACAGTCTTTGCTGCGCTCAGCTGCAGTCTGTCCTCATCTACTATTACAGCACCCATGATGGCTGGTCATCCAGCCTCTGTTTTAGAGTCCTCTGTTGAAGGAGAGTCTACCACCTTCAGATAGCACACACCATCAGGAAGCTTCTCCTGATGTTCCTTGTAATCCCCTTGTAAGAGGGGAGCAATGAGTTGTGCACCAGTGTATACATATGCAGAGATGAGGTAGTCCTCCAGTTACCTTGGCCCCAGTTCATTTAAGTCTTTAAAGCTTGACACTAGCTTCTGAAATGGGGCCTGGGGACAAAATTGGTTATGTTGGGTAATAGGAATGGGTGCAAACTCTTGGGTTTCTATCCCAGTTGAACGCCAGGTTGAGTCTGAATACAGAGGAGCACTTTTATGTTGAATATTTGAACCGTCATTGACATAACTTCGTTTAACTGTGGAGGTTTTTGTTTTTGTTTTAATTTGCAGGAAATTCCAGCAACAGCAGGAAACAGAGTCAGTCAATAAAGAAAAACAACAATGGGTAAGGTCTGAAATTGTCACTTTTCCTGTTGGGCTAAGTGTTCTTTTAAAAAGACTTATGAATACAGAGGAAGCTGTGTTGCCCGCAAAGATCACACAGAACAGCACCAAGTCCTGTCTTGATACTTGCAGGCAAGCACTGGGTTCTCTAAATGCTTCTTATGCTGTTCATCATTCACAGCTTAAATATCCATTTCATTTTTAAGTGTGATACGGAGAGCTGGATTCGGTGGTGTCTGTTGGTCATCATTTTCTTAGGCAGGCTGCATGACTGGGCAAAGCAGTTCAGAGCAAAGGCTGATCTTCATGTTCATCATATAACCTAAGTCTCATTTCTCGTGAGTTGGTTCCATCTTCCAGAGTGCAGACGTATAGACTCAGAACTGCCTCTGCTTGACCTTACCATGCGTGTAAGGGAGTCATCTTATATTACAGAAGGAGCAGGAAGAAGATCTCAGCAAGATGCAGAAGGCTTTCCGAAGGAGGAGTGAGTCTGTGGAGAAAGCCCAGGTACATGGGAGAAAGATCCTTGACAGTCCTACTTCGTTCTTACACAGGCTTTGTAACTCCTTAGCATTCAGAGTGATCTGCATCTCCAAATTTGTTCTTTTTACATTGCTTCTCAATACTGGGTCAAAGCAGCAATAGCAACTGCTTTGTTGAAAGGACTATAATCTATCTGTCCCAGTACACTCACTGTTTTCTACACTGCATGCTTCTGTCAAAATAAATAAATAAATAAAATGCTTTCTATATGAATCAGAAAGAATCTGCGTACCTTTTCGAAACCTCTTATTGGTTTGGAAAGCCTGATCATTCATAGAGAATCTTCCATTTTTTCTTATTTCTTGGTCTTCAGCACATCTTGAGGCAATAAGTTCCACAATCAAACCTGTGGTGGTGGTGGGATTTCTATGGAGGTGGTAGCTTCCAGTGTATTTTCCTGACCACTTATGAGTGTATATGCCTTGTATACAACCAATCACTACTTTTTCTTGATTCACTTCTGTGGCCTCAGCCCAGTTTTGCAATTGCGCTTCTGGAGAAGCAAGGTACTAGTAGTCTTTGAGTGCTCAAATCATGACACACACATGCAATTTCCACCATACACTTCTTGGCCTTTGTGCCTTCCAAAAAAACTTGCATTTGAATTTTCGGCTGGTGTTGCAGAGAGCTGTTGGCCAGACCTTCACCAAGATTATGAAACCTTGGTTCTGTTCTTAAGAGTGACCACAACTATTGAGCACAACTATTTCTTACCTCATGCATTACTTGTAAATAAACCCACCAAAGTTACCAGCTTCCAGAATTCTTGCAGGCCTGCTTTTACCCACAAGAGGGTCTGGCTAGCAGAGCTCTCGGTCCCTTCTCTGCAAGCCCACCTTGAACTTTTGCAAGGTTAGTTTCCGCACTGAGTGTGCAGAAGGAAGAGAGTGCTTTGCTTTCTTCACGTCCAGTAAGAAATGTGGTGCCAAAGGGAGGAATGGAGTACTCTGTACCTCCTCATCCTGCAACTCACTGGCGGCCAGGCAAGTAGTGAAATACAGAACACTGTATAACTGCTGGGATGGCAGCATAATATTTTATAAACCATAACCTCAAGTTTGGGGATATTCCACAAGAAGTTATAATGCAGTAGCTATGCACACACACACATGTGCTTTTGCGCATACGTGCTTTTGGATGCTCGTTAGCATGAAGGTCCAGAATCTATTATTAAAGCCATCCTCCAGTCAAATGGCTCTTGCAAACTTGTCAGCTGAACTCCCTGTAAGGATTACTGCCTGCACTGCTGTTCCGTTAGAATGACATAAGCTGGGTCTTCTCCTCTGGTGGTGGTCCTGGATGATATCTCTTAGCTGGATCCTCTCTCGGTCTCTTGGATCTCTTCTTCACCTTTTTGGAACTCTGACTTGGACTCTTAAGACTTGCCCAGTTGCATGTGGGGCTCCTGATAACTTCCTCTTTCCTCTTTCCCTTTCAGAGGAGCATGGACTGTTTCTTGAGAAATCCCTTTTTAATGCTAGATGGCTGGTTTTCTCATGTGCACCTGTACTCCCTTTGAGCTTCTTGAACTGCATAAGTTATGCCTTCTTGCTAACACTCAGCAAATTTGTGAGGGTCTTTCTCTTTTTTGACAAGGTTGCTTCTGAATCTTCCTCATAGTGGAACTAATTCAAAATCCAGCTTGCTGCATTAAACAACTCCAAGTCAATCCTCAATAATGAGCATAGTTAAAGAATATACACACAGTGGTTGTATTTTGCATGAGAACCTCGCATTTCTGAGCAGCCTTACTATCTGACCTTGAAATAGTGAAATATCTTTGCAGGGCCAGGATAAGTGTGTACCACTGTAAAAACAAAGCTAGAACTGTGATGCATAGAAGTTTGCTTTTCATCAGGGTAATCGATTTAACCTGATAAAAATGTCCAGGGAATTTTAGCAAATCAACCTGTGAAAGTGTTTCCTCATTTTTTCCTATGACGTGCAGAGTCTTCTAGCCCTAAAAGAAACCATGAAGACTTTTCTAACGCATTCCTGTATCCCTGGATTTTGCCGGTAAATTGGTTAGCGATGATGAATGAACTGTAATATATTGGCAGCCAATGACAGCACTTCCCCTTGCATGTTGAAGTCAGGTAGAAGCATTGATGCTATTTCTAAATCCTGTGCCCTCTCAAATGCTATGCTTCCTCGGGACTCAGTAAATCTTTCTCTCTGTGCAGGAAGCAGCATCAATAATAGGACAAAGATCAGTGAATCCTCGTGACATCTTCAAACAAAAGGAGAGGTCCATGTCCACAGATGGTGCAGTTGTCAGTTCCCAGCCAGGTATCTGACAGAGCAATTCTATACTGTTATTACGCTGGGACTGGAGAATCATTGCAGATGTACCAGCGGAATGGCCTTTGTATCTGAAACATGCTTAGTCCCTTCAGCACATTGTGCAATACTTGTCTCCCCCACTCTCACAGACAGTGAGCAGGAGCCCCTACATGAGTCAACAAGCCCCTTTTGCTCTCCCCTCTCACTGTTGGCACTCGGGACTAGTTCAGTCCCCTGCTGCTTTGCATAGAAAGTCTTTCTCCTTCCTTTGTGGAATGCTCTATCCTGCCCCCATCCTATCTGCTAGAGTGGGGCTCAGCACTGGGTGTTTGGGTCTGGAGTCCCAAGGCAAGGTACATGTTGAGGTGAGGACGTGGGTGGCGCTGTGATCTAAACCACTGGGCTTGCCAGTCAGAAGGTTGGCGGTTTGAATCCCTGCCACGGAGTGAGCTCCTGTTGCTCTGTCCAAGCTCCTGCCAACCTAGCAGTTTGAAAGCACACCAGTGCAAGTAGATAAATAGGTACCACTGTGGCGGGAAGGTAAATGGCGTTTCCGTGCGCTCTGGTTTCCGTCATGGTGTTCCGTTGCACCAGAAGCAGTTTAGTCCTGCTGGCCAATGACCCGGAAAGCTGTCTGTGGATAAACGCCGGCTCCTTCGGCCTGAAAGTGAGAGGAGCGTCACAACCCCATGTAGTCACCTTTGATTGGACTTAACCATCCAGGGGTCCTTTACCTTTTTCTTTTTTTCTTTTACCTTTTACACGTTAAGGTTCTAGGAAGAGGTGTGGTTTCAATGTGCTCAGCTCTCTAGGCATGTTCCAGAGACCAGTATGTTTTGTGCTAGTGTTCTTCCTTTCGTTCTCCTCTCGCTTGTGAGCTCAAAGTGTGCACAACATGGGGACAGAAAGAGGGCCCCTGGCTATATCAAATCTGAGCTATGACCTCTCTGTTTATGGGATTTATATAGTGGTGGTGGTGTCCTTTGATTGGGTGTTGAGTTACAGAGTATTCTATATTCCTCTGGGTGATGTGGATGCGGCAGTCCCTGCTGCTGGGGCAGCTGCCTTTTTCTCATCCTTCCATTGAAGTCGATGGGAGAGAGTTTTCTAGGCACTAGGGAATTGGGCTGATGCAAAGTCACAACATTTAGGAAGGTGTGACACTGTATTGAAGGGGTATACAATTTGACAATTGTGTCCTTCACCCCTGTAACATCCAAGCCTTACCCACGACTGTTCCATTTCAGCTGTTCTCTTTGCCAGTGGAATGTTTTCCCTGGTAGACTGTTTTACTAGCATGGTATAACTGGTATAACAGGGGTTTACTCCAAATCCTATAGTTCCTCAGTATAGGATTGCACCCTTAAACAGAATCAGAAGAAGTTGGAGGCAGTTATTTTCCAGGACAGATGCTTTCCAGTATGCCATGCTACATACAGTTTTACTCTGATCATTCTGTATAAAAGCTAAAGAAATTTAACTATGGTTTGGCACAGATGTTATTGGGCTGCAGTTCCCATCATTTCCCATTGGGCATGCTGGCTGGGGCTGATAGGAGGTGGTGTGCAACAAAATTCGGAGCATTGTACGTTCCTTATCCCTTAATGGTTAAACAAGTATTTAAAAACAAAACAAAAAACAATGGGGGGTTTTTTAGACACAATGTCTGAACTGGCAAGCCATAGTTATGGGACCAGAGTGCAGATAGTAATGAAAAGAGCAGCATTCTAAACCATTCTATTTTTCTGTTTGTTTGTTCATTATAAAAATGTGGCTTATGTCTATCTCTGTAATAGCTGACCAAGACAACTAACAGCTATAAACTGATAACATCACAATCAGAAAGTAGTACGGCGTATACTAAAATGGTTATCGTGAAGGCAATAATGAACTAAATCACATGGGTTGTCTAAGGGCTGCTTAGTGAATGGTCGCGGAAAGATGCGTCTATCTCACCATTTTGTGTGTTGTATTGATGTGCCCCCTTTCCCAGGCAAGTTGCGGAGCCCCTTTCTCCAGCAGAACAGTCAAGCAGAGGCTCCCGTATCCCCTGTCCACCCTGCCGTGCAAGATGTTCACCCTCCTCCTGTTGTCCGTTCGTCTGTACACGATACACCTCCAGTCTCTCCCGTTCCTGAACTTGGTAAAGCTGATATAAGAGAGCTTATGGGTTCAATTCCTTGATTATGGCAGGTTTTTAATAGCTGAAGATGTTCAGGTAGTCACCCATGATCTGTTTGTCCCAAGCATAGTGAAGGAGGAGTGTATAACAAACACAACTTGAAATCTAGTTTCGTGGGGAGGTGTATACTTAAAACTCTTTTCGTTTCCATTCCATTAAAACAAAATATTTCCCCCCTAAATATTCCTTGGGCTACCCAGCCACATTTTAAAAAACTAGGTAGGTTTCCAAATCCTTCTTGTGCACACGCATGTGTGTGCCTGCTACTTGTATAAAGTGTCCCCATACCACTGTATGTAGAGCTTTATATTTTGCTCTAGGAAAGACAGTAGCTTTTGTAACGGGCAAGCTTAAAAAAAGACCTGATTATTTTTCAGTTGATTCAGGGAATTCCCGACATTTGTAAGAGTTTTAGTGGGTGGCTAAAGAAGAGAGAATGGGAAAGCAAGTAAAAAGTTACTAACCTGCCAAGAAAGGGAGGGATATAACTGCTTAGGCTGTTCTGCTAAATCATCTATGAAAGCCCATATGCTCAAAGACTATGAGGGAAGCACTGCAAGTTAAAACAGAAACCTGGTGGTTCCCATTGAATCATTGGACTCATAATTGAGGCTGAACATTGTCTACAATCGTCTTACATTTCACTATAAACATCTGTAAGCTTAAGAATTAGATTCACCATATAGTGGTATCAGAATAATATTTTTTTTTCAAAAAAAAGTTGAAGGATACTGTCATCATAAAAGAATTTTTATTTTTTGCAAAGGGTAATTCTATCTTCATAAAGTACTAAAAAATGAAGAGTTGCTATACAGTACATTTTGAAAAAGACAGTTCCTTGGTGGCAGGCTTGCAATTTAAATACTTGGTCGAAAATAGGACAGGTGACAGTCAAAGGTCACAGCATGACTTTAATTGAGAGGAAGAAGTGAGGTGTGGCAAAGGTGAATCCGTATACCTATAGGGTGATCAGAACTGCAAAGAGATCCAGCAAAAATCCTTTTTAAAAAACCATGTCTCGACTGCTGCTCTAAGCATGGGAAGACTTTTACATTCATATCTAATATCTAATAACATTTGGGTGCCATCATCAAGCCATTCATTAATGGATCCTAACCATTCCATTTGAGTAGCAAACTTTCTCCTGCATTCCTCTTGCCTGCTGCCTTTGAGATTGTGTGCGGTATTTGTGGCTTCTCTGAATGAAGACCCGTTCAGAAAAGATGAAATTGGTAGCAAACCTAATGGCTGAAACAGAAGAGTGTGTTGTTCTTCCAGGTGATTCTGTCAGGCAGAACAACTACAGATCAGGCGCTCCGACCTACGAACCGGAAGAGAAACACGAAGCTGTGTACGAAGAACCCCCTAGTGAACGAGTTATCTATGATGAACCCCCTGAGGTTAGTCTCCATGCACACAAGATCATTTCCTGCCTTATTTATGCCGATCTGCCTCTTACATTCCGTTTGCAAGTGCTGTTGATTATGTAGCCAGAGTGGTGCTACTCATGTGCAAGGGGAAGGGATCAGTAAGTGTGAGAGAACCCAAAGGTTTGCATAATCCGAAAAAGTGTTTGGGGTGGTGGAACACTAGGGGAGAATCCCTAGTTCGTGTCCCTGCGCTCAGTTCATGATCCTGTGCATGTGCATAACAAAAAACCGAGAGGGGGAAGGGAAGATTGTGGAAGACGGCATGGGTAACTTGCTGGAACTGCCAGCATTGTCAGTGGTCAAGGATGATGAGAGCAGATGTCTATAGCAGCCAGAAGGCACCCCATTGGTTACCCTTGAGATAGTGCTTCAGCTCATATGCTTGGAAGAACAGACTGAATTCTTTAATTCAGTATGTCAGTGATGGTGTCTCTAAAGACCTACCCATCACACATTCATCAGTCCTGGGATGAGTTATTGGGATACTTTTACACCACTTGCCTTTTACACCATTTGACATATCCTGCTTCATTCTGTTAACTCTTCATTTACAGGAACAGCCCGAAGATACTAAATATGACTATGTTGATAACTACCAACAAAATCTTAACTTGGAGGGAAAAGGCTTATGCGCTCGAGCTCTCTATGATTATCAAGCTGGTATGTTCTGTGTCGTTTGTTTTCTTCCATTAACCGAAATGCTTGTCTCTAGGCATAGTCTGTTCCCACTCAGGTTAGACAGAAGTTACAGGATGTGTTTTTCTCACATTGTGCCCCCTATAGAGTAGATTAGGTCCTGTCCCAATTTAGTAGTTAAAGGATGGACAGAACAATAGGTGGCTGGTGTGATGGCCAGGGAAGAAGGAACCAGAAAGGGTGAAGCATAACTATCCTTTATTCTGGCTATCAGAAGCCCACTTGAAACACACTCTTTCCTATAGTTGTTAGCATCTCCTTTTTTAAAAAAAGAAAAACATTGGGGAGATTCTTAGGAATTCTGATATGTGCATTTATTCTACAACAGGAAGATTCCCTTCCTGTGCTGCACAGTGACAGCCACAGAGATGGGAACTGGGAGCAATAGGTTTTAGTCACAGCACAAAGCATGTGTTGTAGGAGAGGGTCAAAGAGCACTTCTCTATGAACACTTGCTGTCTCTACTTGATTCATGGCTGGTATTTGCAGCTGATCTCAAAGCGCATGGCAGCGTATTGGGGGGGGGAATGCAACCTCATTCATATGTTGGGATGAAACCTTTTTCAAAAGAGGGTTCCATAAGTAAAACCAGCCCCGAAAGGTAGCACAGACACCGGTGCACTGAAGTAATGTTTCATGCATCTAGAAATCTTTGATGGTTGTCAACGGCAGTCCCTTACGCAACGTATTTGTCAGATGGCTGTTGCGGTTGCTTGAGAGTAACCAGGCAGGACTCCGACTTGAGTTTTACAGGCTTTATTTTGGTGCAGACTATTTACAGTGAAGAGTCCCAAAGCTCATGTCGGGCTCAATTGCTAGCAGAATCCGGGAGTGGTCTTTTTTTGGACCTCCCCCAACATAAGAGTTTCATTACCCCCAACCTTCTCCTTCCCTCTTTGCGCCTTAGGCTACTGCGTAGCATGGGCGATGACAAGGGCGTGTTTCCCTCTTGTCCGGCTTGCCCAGGAGCGGTGTTAAGGCTCCCACCAGCATCCTCTGGTCCTTGCACCTCTTTCCCACTGGAGGTGAGGCTTTCCTCCTCCCCAGAAGAGGAACTGCTTCGCAAGATTTTCGGAGGCTCCCTGTAACACAACTGCCCTTCTATTTATTGCCTCTGAGCCAATGGCAGTTCCCTGACAGTATTACAGCAGTTTAGCTTCAGCATCATAAATTTTCTAACTGCAGGGCTACTTCGCAAATGAAGCCTCAGCCCGCACTTACTTTGGTATCGAAAGTTCTAGCAGAACCTGGTACCAAGACATCAGCCACCTTTCTAAAGGATGATGGACATTCCTAGTTCAGGATGTAGATAGGCCAAAGGAACGTACCTCTGTGGTAGAGCTCTGCAGGCGGAAGTTCCCAGGTTCAGTCTCTGGCATCTCCAGTTAAAAATGGATCAGGTTGCAGGTGATATGAAAGGTCTTCACAGGAGACCCTGGAGAATTGCTGGCCATTGACGCAGTCACTACCAGGCTTAGATATACAAGTTGTCTGTCATGGTATAAGGCCTTTTCCTGTTTGGGTGGGTTAAGTTCCATTCTATGTCATTTCCTCCACCCCAACTAAAATCCCTGCAAAGACAGATATGCATTAATGTTGCCAAGCAAGGTGACATAGCCAGGATCTCTTAGCAGTTAAGGCAGGGGTCAGCAATCTTTTTCAGCCGTGGGCCGGCCCACCGTCCCTCAAACCATGTGGTAGGCCGGACTGTATTTTGAAAAAATATATGAATGAATTCCTATGCCCCACAAATAACCCAGAGATGCATTTTAAATAAAAGGACACATTCTACTCATGTAAAAACACCAGGCAGGCCCCACAAATAACCTAGAGATGTATTTTAAATAAAAGGACACGTTCTACTCATGTAAAACACACTGATTCCCGGACTGTCCGCGGGCTGGATTGAGAAGGCGATTGGTCCGCATCTGGCCCCCAGGCCTTAGGTTGCCTACCCTGAGTTAAGGCATAACTAAACCGTGTCAAAGTGGTCCTGAGTATTCACTCTTGCTGGGCTATATGCTCCTTAAACAAGTAATTGTTTTCCCCCTGAAATCTTGTCTGTTCCCACCTTTCAGCTGATGACACGGAGATCTCTTTTGACCCTGAGAACATTATCACGAGCATTGAGATGATCGATGAGGGCTGGTGGCGTGGTTATGGTCCCGATGGTCACTTTGGGATGTTCCCTGCCAACTATGTAGAACTCATTGAATAATTGGCCTTTGCCGGAGGACGAATGCAAGCAATACCTGAAAGAACAACTCTCATCAAATCCAGTTCTTCAAGGTGGAATTGTGTGGCTTTTTAAGAGTGAAGTGCTCGTTGCTCTGTGCCCTTGTTGCTGGAGCAGTATCTGTCCCTGCCCAGTGAAGCAGACCTCTTCCTTTCCCTCCTTTTAATTTTCCTTAATGGGTACTTTTCAAGTGAAGGTAGGGAATCAGTCTTGACATTGCATAACACTTTCCTTCACTTTTTTTAATGGAAAAATTGCCCTTTAGCACACCCTCTTCAAACACACAGAGAGACGCTCTGAACACCAGTGTGGAGTATTTAGAAGATAGTGCTTAGCAGAAATATATTCCTAACCTACCCTTCTCCCCAATGCAAACTGATTTTTTCATTCCGTGTGTTGCAACTTTCTAAGATAGCATAAGGAGGTATCTTAAGAAACATCTACTGTGTTTACTTAATAGCCTGTGTAACTTGTCTGTGTGATTCGGACCCACAGTCCACAGTTATTCCAGAACACTGCTTTGGAGAAAATGGATTGCGAGTTGCAGGCTTCTCCGCTCCCTTTTCTTTGAGATGCCAATCCACTAGGAGCTGCTTCAGGGCAAGCCCTGTCGAAATGAATGGTTTTGTGCGATCACTCCCCAATGTTCTTGTGCAACTCGCCTTCCATTTCAGTGGAGTCAGTCCTGAATGGGAGATTGTGCCCTCGAACTACTCTAACCTTTGTGCAAGGACCAAGTTGCCTGGCTTTTAGGTTGTTAAGTCTGTGTGGAAAATTCCCCCCTTGCTTTTAAAGTAAAAGCTAGCCATGTTTCTTGAGACATGGCTTCAGAGACAAAACACCATTAAAGCAGGTAATAGACAAATGCCCTACAAGCAATGCTAGCTTTCAGCTGTGGTGCACATTGCTTTAAATACAATGCTCTGTCTGTACATGTTTGTGTGGTTTGGTTCATATGTGAGGGACTTGATTTCTGCATTATCTTTTCTGGGTTTTTTTTAAAAGCCTTATGTTGCTTATACATAATATTTGGATTAATTCCTCCCCTCCCCTTTAATATTCAAATAAAACAGAACCTAAAAGAAACCTCAGACACAACTGAGCACTCAGGAGTGTCCCAGATTTGTGCTGTGTAATTGCGTGACACTGTGCATCACTCTGACTGACACCAGCTAATAGTACTAAACTAGTAAGGGTGTTTGTGACTCATGGCTGGGTTCAGGTGCTGAATTTTAAGTGGCTTTCATCAAACTCCCACTGAGCATCACCTCTTCATGGCATACTAGCTTACAGGTGTATGTTGTTTTTTTAAAAAAACCAATTAGCCATTTTTTACATTCCTGTTATTTGTCTTGCTCAAGGCAGCCTGGATAGGATTCTCAAGGAACTTCAAACATGCATCCCGTGCAGGTATCTGAGGTAGAGAATGCGTATTATAAAGGTTAATCTGTTTGCTTAGGATGTAAAAGAAATGGCCTTGCAAGGTTCAAGTCCTGTCTTCCCTGCTTTTATGCATGACGTGGTGGTGATTATGGAACTAAGAGATTCTAAGGCAGTTCTCTGCTAGTTTCCCAACTAAGTTGTATTCAGTGGCATTTTAGAAAGTGACAGGTTTTTTTTAAAAAAAAAAAAAGATAGGGAGCAGCTTCCAGAAAGTGGCTGTTTAATTTCCACATGCTTCTTCATTCTGGATCTGCAGAAGCTAAAGCTAAACTATCCATTCCATTTTAATTCAGCATTTCTGTCTTATGCCCCCACTCCAGGTAGTCAAAATGGTGTTTTCCAGATGCTGTTGGACTGCAACTCCCATCAGCCCCTGGCCAGAGTTGATGGGAGTTGTAGTCTAGCAGCTCCTCGAGGGCACCATATTGGCTCGAGATGTAGTGGAAATCTTTTCAGAAGCGCTCCCCGTGGTAACTCTCCATTCCAAATGAATATGGGGCCTCTTTTGCCCTGACAGCTTTGGGGAATATTTTGAATGGACCATACTTTAATCCCCCTCCCCTTAATTCCATCTTTCCCATTCAGGAACAATTAAGACATGTTCCCTTTGGGATGTTTGCAGCAGGCGAGCCATGGCTTCACAGGGAATTCTTTAGAGTTGATTCTTATTAGAATTGCTAATCATCATGCTGGAGGATCATTGCTATTTCGGTTGCTGCTGTTCACTGCATCTCCTGTTCATATCCTCCTTTTTGCCAGCCTTCTGCCGTGCATGAAGATTTGGGAGTGGGGAAAAGCTTGTGACTTGTATCAGGATGATCTGAATAATAATAATAATAAAATGAAGTGATTTAAATTACTCCAGTGAATGGTGTGTGTTTGTTTCATGTGTGGTTTGCTCCCTGCCCTTTTCAAGGTCAAAGAATGGCTTTGGTCTTGAGTTATCCATGTCCTCAACTGAGTATCTAATAATACCTTTATTGTCAATGTAGAAACTGTACAATGAAATTAACCGAGCCTCCCTCCCCCCACACAAACAGTCTCATTGCACTCTGTGTGCTTGTCGCACAACACACCAACCCCAAAAGTCAGTTGCGCTATATTATTTTCTGTTCAGCAGCCTAACAGCCCATGGATAGAAACTGTTTTTTAGCCTGTTGGTGTGACTGATTATACTTCTATATCTCCTGCCCGAGGGTAGAAGATTGAAGAGGTGCTGGCCGGGGTGTGAATCATCCCTGAGAATTTTTCTCACTCTCCTAAGGCATCGATCCCTTGCGATGTCATCTAGCGGGCTCAGTGGACAGCCCGTGATATCATGTGCTGTGTTCACCACATTTCATTCTGTGTTCATTCACTCTGTAAGGACTTTCTGTCCGTGGCTGTCAAGCCAACGTACCACACTGTGATACAATATGAGAGGACACTTTCTATTGTGGACTGGTAGAAGGAGGTCATCAATTGTTGTTTAACATTGTTCTTTTGCAAGACCCTGAGGAAATGGAGTCTCTGTTGGACCTTCCTAACCACCTGAGTTACATTGTTTTTCCAAGTGAGGTCTTCACTAAGGTAAACTCCCAGGAATTTAAAGGAAGAGACTCTCCACTCAACCCTCCCCCCGATATACAACAGGGCTAGTTCCCCTCTCTTCCTCCGAAAGTCCAACACCATCTCCTTTGTCTTGCTAATATTTAGGTGCAAGTTATTCTCTATGTAAATACTTTCTGAACCTCCCCCTGTACGCTGATTCATCTCCACCTGTAATTAGACCCATTATGGTAGTATCATGTTAATACTGTAATGCATTGGGGGGCAGTGTGTGCGCCATTAATTATCTTTGGCTTTCTGGAGTCTAGTCTTGGTTTCTATCAATTAGCGGAATCGTCCCACTGTAATTGCTTCATCCCTCTCAAGTGCTTCTCTGAACAGGCTCTTCACATTTTTCTGCTACAAGATCAAGCCACCTTATAACAAACAGTGGGGTTACTTTGTGTAAGGACAGGCAAATCAAACCATTGATTCTCCCCATTTTACATACCCAAACTTAGCATTGTGTGTAAGCATTCTCCTTGTGATAGAATTCCGAAAGAATCTCATCTTGTGAATGGGTCTGCTTGGATTCCTAACCCACCGTGCAAATGGTACTTGTCACAAAGTAACTGCTTGCATTTAGATCTTTTTCTCCCCCCTCCCTAATAAACACATGAAATTAAGTTTGCTTATTGTAAGGTGGTCTGGAATAAATATGCAAATTGGATATATTTTCAATACTAACAGCCAGGTTGGCTGGAAAAATCACTTCACTAGGCGATAGTTCAAAGCATCCTTCCGCAACCTGCTGTCCCTTCAGATATTTGGACTACAGCTTCCATCACTGCTGACCTTTAGCTATGGCATGATGGGGCTGACAGAAGTTGCAGTCCAGAACATTTGGAGAGTACAGTGGTACCTTGGGTTAAGAACTTAATTCGTTCTGGAGGTCCATTCTTAACCTGAAACTGTTCTTAACCTGAAGCACCAGTTTAGCTAATGGGGCCTCCCACTGCTGCCGCACAATTTCTGTTCTCATCCTGAAGTAAAGTTCTTAATCCGAGGTACTACTTCTGGGTTAGCAGAGTCTGTAACCTGAAGCGTCTGTAACCCGAGGTACCACTGTACCAAGTTGCCTAAAGCAAATCATCTGTGAGTGTTGTCTGCTTATATGTTCCTCTTATTCTTTTCCTCCAAAGACTGCCTGGACTTCCCTCGACCTCAAAACATAGATCTGGGGAAGCTGTTTGTCTTCTGGCATGTTGATCATACACAAGACCTCTTGCTGATAGCCAGAACGCAATCTTTTTTCCTTCAGAGAGTGGACCAGTTGATTACAAAGAAAAAAGGTTGTGCATGGGGATGGTAGCACCTGTGATGCAGGATCGAGTTAACCGGGTCAGGCAGTCACAGTGGGAACAGTGGCAGAGACACGAGATGGATAATCAGATTGCAGTCTGGACCTCAAATTCATTTCCACTCTACCCCATTCCTTTAGCTTGTCTCCCCTGGGACCCTCTGCCACCAGCTGAGGAATCATTTGTCTTAAAATATAGCTGGCTTGGGATGTGCATCCCCACACAAGCTTTTCCCCCTTGCTTCTGAAGCATATTTAATGCTATTTGGAAAGATTTAGTAATGTTTCCCCGAGGGGGAGCAGTAATCTCTTACTTGTTCCAGGTCCCCTAGAGTGGAGGCAGCTCAGGGGCAAGTAGGCATTACACTGCATGGGCCAATCCTGACAGCTGCCCATTGTTTTCCTTGCACTGTAGTATTTAGCCTGCATTTACAGTGGACGTCTTCTGACCTGGAAACGGGGGCTTATTTTGAGGGCTGTTGACCGATGGAGGACTTAACTACAGTGCAATTCTAACCATGTCTCTTCAGAAGTAACTCCTGCTGAGTACATTGGGGCTCACTCCCAGAATAGGATTGCAGACTTAATTAACGGTAGTCCATCATTGCATACTGTAGGAGTAGAAACCAGTTATGAACCTGAAAAGCATACTTTATTTTTAGGTGCCTCTGTATTTTATTTATTTTTGCATTTCCGTCAGTTTGTTTATTTATTTATCCCACCTTTCCTCCAAAAATTCAAGGTGATTTACATGGTCCCCATCTCATTTTGTCCTCACGCAACTCTGAAAAGTAGTGACTAGTCCATGGTCACGTGGTGAGTTCTGTGGATGAGTGGAGCTTTGACCCTGAATCTCGCTGGTCCTTGTCCTGCATTAACAATCATGTTATACTTCTACTTACTCGGCAAGCCCATTGCACCCAGCATTCATCTGTATAAAAGGTAAAGGATCCCTGGAACGTTAAGTCCATCAAAGATGACTATGGAGTTGCAGCGCTCATCTTGCTTTCAGGCCGAGGGAGCCGGCGTTTGTCCACAGACAACTTTCCAGATCATGTGGCCAGCAGGACTAAACCACTTCTGGCACAGCGGAATACCATGACAGAAGCCAGAGCGCACGGAAACATCATTAACTTCTTCGCCACAGCGGTACCTATTTATCTACTTGCACTGGTGTGCTTTCGAACTGCTAGATTGACAGAAGCTGGGACAGAGCAACGGGAGCTTACTCCATCCATCGTGGGGATTTAAACCATGGGTGGGTCTATGGTCTAAACCACTGAGCCTCTTGGGCTTGCCAGTCGAAAAGTCATCTGTATGAGTGTCTGTTGAACCCACCTTGTAGGTATCCTAAATGGCATAAGATGAACCTACTGAATCACCTAGCCCAGCATCCTGCTCTCACAGAGGTCAACCATATGCCTATGGAAAATCTTCAAGGCAGGACCTGAGCACAGCAGCACTCTTCCCTGCTTGTGATACCCAGAAACGGGCATGCTGCAGAGGTGGAACATAGCCACTGTGCCTAGCTTTCTGGTAACTTAATGGCACACTTTAATCATCATCATCGTTGTTGTTGTTTATGTATTTATTCATACCCCGTCCATCTGGCTGGGTTTCCCCAGCCACTCTGGGCGGCTCCCAACAGAATATTAAAAACATGATAGAACATCAAACATTAAAAACTTCCCTAAACAGGGCTGCCTTCAGATGTCTTCTAAAAGTCAAATGGTTTATTTCCTTGACATCTGGTGGGAGGGCGTACCACACGGCAGGTGCCACTACCAAGAAGGCCCTCTGCCTGGTTCCCTGTAACTTAGCTTCTCGCAGTGAGGGAACCGCCAGAAGGCCCTCGGAGCTGGACCTCAGGCTGAACGATGGGGGTGGAGACACTCCTTCAGATATACTGGAATCTTCTGCTTTAAGATTATGTATTGTTTTCATCTGCTCCTGACTTTCAGCCACCCTGAAATTTTGCATTGAGGATGGATTTATAAAAGTTATAATAAATCACTTGCGACAGCCTGTTCCTTTGTAGCTGGAGCTCTTGCAGAACGAACCTGGAAACCTTCTCTTGCAAAATACGTGCTCTGGGCTATGCTGCCTCTCCCCATCCCACCCCCAGTTGGAAGATGCATTGGTCAATGAGTGACACGTCCCCTCGGGAGGCTTCTGCCCTCCCGCTCAGCTGGGGCCAGGGCCTAATGAGCCTTTGCAGGAGGCGGCCGTGAAATCATGTATGTTGCGAGGCTTCCTGACACCGGCTCTGCAGCAATCCTCTTAAAGGGATGAAATGGCATAATCCGGCGGGGGCGGAGAGGGAGGGCGGTGCTCCTCAATTGTGGGGGCTCAAACATCTGGGATGAAATTGTAGTCGTGAGTCACACAGTCCGGGCTATTTTTATTAGTGGGGGCAGAAGGGGGCACCTTTTTGCATTAAGTCTTTCTGAGCTGTCCTTCGAGAGACGCCTCAGTCTCCGTCAGGCCCTCTGCAAGAAGATGGTATGTCTCAAAGGTGCTACCATTGCTTCATTAATTGTATTACTTACCTGTTGGGCTGGTTTCAGTGGAAATCCAGAATGCTGCCTTCATCAGATACACCAGTTTTCACACCCCTCCTGTAGCCTTTCCTGTTTTCAATCTATCCTTCCCCCTCTCATTTATTCTTTGCTCTCCCCCTCAACCACAAACAAGTGATTTGGATACCCAAATCTCCTGTCCCGGGATGAACTCTGGGCTTGAATCTAGACCGCCTTATTTCCCTTTTCTCTGTGAGATAACCTGCCCCCCACCCCGGAAATTATATACAGTGGTACCTCAGGTTACATACGCTTCAGGTTACAGACTTCACTAACCCAGAAATAATACCTCGGGTTAAGAACTTCGCTTCAGGATGAGAACAGAAATCGTGCTCAGGCGGCGTGGCAGCAGTGGGAGGCCCCATTAGCTAAAGTGGTGCTTCAGGTTAAGAATAGT